TTAAATTCCGTGTAATTTTGTTTATTTTTTTAAATTATCCTTTTATTTTTTACATAAACTAATTTGACAAGTGTGTGATCAGGTTGTTCAAAATGTATTGGACGCACAAATCAAATTTTTCAGATAAACTCTGTCTTCTAATAACGCTATTCAAAAAACAAAAAACACATATCGTTTACATTAGTTACCACCATGAACATGTAAATATAAACTACTCATATATACTGGATGTTTTTGCACTTATTGTAATCTCAGATCACTAATCTGAACAAAAATTGTTTGGAACATTTTAGTCGGAACTAATTGGCTCGTTTAGTACACTAGACAATCCGTACAGCATTGTTCATGAAGTGTGGCAACGCTTTTGGGATAGGCACGAGCTTTCGTAATAGTCCGGAATACATTTTCTAATTTATTTACACTTATTATATCGGTTGAAATTTCAGTTTCGTTTAACTTCGATAATTCGTTGCAGAAAAGTGAATTGTTTCTACATTCAGTGTCAATTTAAAATGAAATCGCATTTCGTCAAAATATCATTACATGACTGATTCAATATATTATTGTTACTGAAAGTTTCTCCTGACAGTTTCGTTAATTTTCAGCGCTCTTTGAAAGAAGTCTACATATTGACCGACTAATAATATTTCCATTAGTCGGTTATAGGTTATGGATTTTGATACTCTTGATCAAGGGATACTCCCAATTTACTGTAGATACATACAATGCATGTATAGCATTACCACTTAACTTCATTTCAGCAGTTAAGTAATACGCTGAAAATTCAAGTGATAAGTGGATTTTATGATTCAATATATAATGGCTTGCATAACTGCTAAATATTTATTTTCTAACAGTTTATTAACAATAAACTGCAATTTATCATTTTCCATTTGACACTGACCTTTCAAATATTCAGTTGGAGCTATTTAGGATAGGTAAATTAACGGCGATTACATGGTTAGGCTATAATTTACACATATGAAAGTAATCATCAGGACATGTAATAGTACATTAACAAAACACTATTTTACAATACATCTAATACTTCTTTTTTCACATGTTACTAGCATTAGTTTGATACAAAGTTGAAAGTATTTCACAAAAAATAATTTAATATGACCTTCAATAGTTCATTTCATCAGAATATGAAGTAGTACTAAATTAGTTGCACACAATTTGTGAGTGTTCAGGTATTCCGTTGTAATTTCTCTTACTATACAGATATAAAAGGTTTTATAATATTCACTAAATGGGAAAAGAATATTCTATGTAAAGCCGTATCATTACACCGATGGATTAAATTTGGATAGCCTATCACAACCTATTGTCGCTAATATATTTGTCGAAAACACCTGAAGAGCAAAACTAGCTTTTGTGTTGTGATGAAATTTACGCAAAACATCGTCTTGAAGCAATCAATAAAGTTCAGTCGGACTTAAAAGTTAAAATGGAACAGGAAGAGGAAGATAAATTTGATTTTTCAGATTAAAATATCACATGATGGAATAATGTCATGTAGTGGAGATACGTTTTCTGCGAAAAAACCTGTAATAGGAAATAACACAGTTCCCATAACATTTGTACGATGAGCTGCTACAGAGCACTGGTCAAAACATTTCATAATAAAACCACATGCAGAAACTAGAAGGTATTTATTCTTTTGTCAATAAATATTTGCAAGATGGTGGAAAATTGATTTGTAGGCATAGAACTAAGTGCTGAAAGAACTAAAGCCAAAAAGAAATTGTACTTCATCTGACTAGCATTTGAATTCAACCATAAAGACACAGGTAAGAGAAGGATATAATTTTTGTAACTGCACTTCAAAACCACACCGTTATTTAGTGTTCTAAAAGGTCGTGGAAATACTTAAAAGAGTTGGTAATATCAGTTGACAGTTGGCTATTGAAGAAAGACTATACCTTATTACGTAGGATGTTAAAGGTTGTCAGCAGGGTAAGCAGTTTGCCACTTAGCCAGCTTGTTAGCATTCTGGTGAACAGGCACATGGACTCATGTGAAAAATGGGCGAAATCCATTTTATCTGACTCACAACACCCTCTACATTCACAACTCTCCCCTTGTATCTCTTCAGGGAAAACAAGAAGCCTATATAGGAAACTATATGCCCGCACTAGTAAGTACAAAAACTCATCCATACCCTACCTAGCCCGTGTTCTGTGCGATAAAGAATGCATCAGGCATGAAACCTTTAACTTATTAAATAGTCAGTAGAACCAATGGATCTCGTCTTTCCAACTCACATCATTTATAGGTACAACGTTTTCTCGCTCTTCATTCTGTATTTATTTTTGTTATGTGCTGTTTTGTTTCTCTCTTCCTTGCAAACTCTACTTAAAACATTCTTGTTCGTTCTTTCACACTCTGTATATCTCGACCATTTTGCTATCGCTTACGCCAGTAAATATGCTAGTAGTATCTACTTTTCTAACACCTTCAAACACTCTGTTTAATTTTGGCTTTGCTGCCGACATGCTAATATGTTGTTGTCAAAACTGACTGAGATAACTTTAATCTATGTAGAACTTTATTTATTGTTAATGTAGAAAACTGGATGCAATATTGTAATAAAAATGCTGAGAATTCCATTCTGTATCACATGTATTGATTTGGAATAAAGCTTATGTTATGTTATGTATGTAACAAAACATGAAAAATAATGAATAAATTATGGAACTTGGTTAGATACGCTTACGTAATCTAAAAATACTACGTGATGCGTATCACTCAGGAATAATTACCATTAAAACTACAATCCCTTGGGAAAAAGGAATATTATCCACACTAGAGAGATGCACAGGTATGAGATTCAGAATATGTATAAAGTATATTTCAAAGTTAGGAGTTTCAAAGGAAACAAGCTGCATTTCACATCACATATAAGGAGATCAGTGAAGTGTCCAATAATAAAAGCCGAATATCCACATCCTGTTATCTTAAACTGTATTTGTCAATTTTCAATTGTCTGATAATGCATGTTACGAGAAAAAAGAGATGAGCAGCTACCTTTTTCATACAAACTATATAACCAACAGTTAAGAGGGGTAAATGACAATGACAGTTCATTAGTTACTGATGCGTGACATAAAATTCACATTTGTAATTGAACGAATTATGTTAGTTTCACTTGATTTATTGCCAGCTGTCTCAATTAGCAGGAAACACTTTGATGTTTTCACCCAGAAGCATTCAGCAGCTGCTCAGCAGCTACTTGGGTAAGAAATGTTTTCATGTGTTCAGGCGAAAAACTGCAACACTGTACAAAAACGTGATACCACTCAATGATCACATTACGTAGATTATCAGTACAACCAGATCACTGTACTTAGGACTAGACAACCATAACAACTACTATACGACCACCGAATTAATTTGTCATACAGTAGGTCGTTTGTAACATCTAACCACTTGACAGAACTGTGAATCAGGAAAGCAGCATAAACTTCCACAACGCTTAAGACACAACTTTCAAATGTGCCCCAACGAAAGCGAAACATAAATTAAGGTCTCCTTATGGTTTGACTCTTGATATCCGTATACCCTGAATATCTGAAGATGACATCTCTTGATCAATAGCGACTCAATATAGGACTATTTTCAATTATAAAAAACGCCTTCTGTAACTTGATATTTATTTACTATTGACAGTTGCTTCCAGTATTAGTATAAACTACTGAGAATCGATGTGAAAGCAAAATTTCAAAGTTTTGTTTTTTTCAAACCTGAGCAACTTTTGCTTAAGTTTTTGATACCACTGTGTGTGTAATAAATTATTCCTGACTCATTGAATCACTATTCGTTTATTTGCCGAAATTAACTGCTTTGCTTATAAAGATTTAGTATTACTTCAAATAGTTCTCCATGAGTTAGATGTACTAACTCTTTATGAGCTCCCATATCGACTAAATCTTTATTATTCCCCACGTAATTATTCCTAATGACGTTTATTTCCACTTTATTATAGTTTCTTTGCATTTTCCATTTTCTATTTTTGTGTGTCTTTATGAATTGTGGCCATTTGAACTGCTGCTCTACTCTGAAAATTTAGTTGATTTCAGCGTTCCAGCTAACACCAAACTCATTTCCATGTAGAGCAAAACTGATCATCATATATAAATCTACGTCAAAGCTTAGCCAAAAATTATCCAAGTCTTGAGAACAACAAAGCTAGGGTAGCATGCTAAAGCTTATGGTTTATAGAGTACAAAGATATTAGTGTACTGCCATTTTTAAATAACTTATTTTTCTGGATGAACTTCCTCTAAGCTGTACAGGACTAAGTGGAAACTTCAACAGTAAAAGTACTACAGGCCAGAGTATTACGACATTTGTGAAACGGTCTGCTTTCATTTAGCCAAAATATTTTCACACTACCTTTTAGAGTGTGGTCAGAAAAGATTCAAGATGCTGGACCCTATTTGTTTCTAGTTTTAACTGTTTTTTTTACTGAAATAATTGTTATGAAGAACACAAACAATGCATGAGATCGTTCAACAGAACAACTGACTTTAATAACCGAGAAATAATTTTTGATTTAGTTGTGTTCTGTGAGCTGGTTGATTTAAATGTGAAGCTTTCTTCGTAATACTTCATGTTACGTAAAAGCTACGTAGGCTGTCTACATTTCAAAATAAACAAAAACAAGGTCACAGCTGATACGAGATGATAAGACTTTTGGACTATACTAAGTGAAATTTAATGCTCAAATAAGTTTCTCTGGACATTTCCAATTGTACTGACCATTATTTTTAACCAGCGATTCCGTACACTTTAAGCATTTCAGTCAAAAAGGTTATACCATCAATCAAACTAAAAAGCAATATATCAAAACATCGTACATAGTTAATCGTACAAACACATGACTCACCCACGAGCTTTCGATATGATTTGACGCATATTGTTTGACTTGACATCCAGGACTTCTGGACTTCGGTCACCTCCCCAGTCGGTTAAAACCAAGGCCTGAGATAAATCTGAGAAAAAATGTGCCAGTCAACAACTTGATCCAAAAATTTTTATGCTATTAATGATTTTCACATACTGGTAGAACTTTTAACGATAACTGCATTATTTCTCAGTGTCATTCAGTCAAATCTTTGACAAACAATTTCTGAGCTTTGGACAAGATAAGTGCTTGATCTCAAAACACGGGTAGTGGTTAGGGCAAAATTTACTGAAAACACAACGGTATGGAGTTATGCATCGCTAAACAGTATAGGTGTAAGAATTTAAAATTAACTCAAATAAATGAGCAATAAAGCTATACGTACAAAATATGAGTATTAAGATGAGTGCATAAAATGCTGGTGTATATGATGTATATAATGCGGGGTGTATATTAAACTACAAGTAGAGATAGGTACACAGTGAAGTAACTACAAACAGCTAACCGAAATGAAAGTATGATTTGGAACACTACGATGCTCCTTTACGAGAAGGTAATTCATGCTGGTGATTATAATCACCTTGCTACAGAAAAGTAAAATTTCACTGAATCAAAAGTCAACCAAGTTGAAAACAATCAAATAACCAAAATGAAATACTAGTAACCAATACACAACGATAAACTCTGTAAGGGTATTCAACGACCATGATAGTTACACGGTGTTATGAGTACGGTGATAGTACATCGCACACATTTGTTACGTCTAGGGCTCGGAAGTCCAGAATAGCTGTCTCCAATTATAGGCCAAATAGTAATTTAGTATATCCTTCTTAATATACTAAGTATTAAGATGTCTTCATTGCACCAGTTGGAAGTATTAGATAATAATATATCACCATTCTAACTGACTTTTAAAATTGTTGAATTGCATGATGTAAACGCTGTTTGCTGAAGTGACTTTAGATAGCTTGTGAAAAAACGGTCTGTAACATTCTAAAATCGTGAAAAAGATTTTAACAATTCCTGACCAAGAAGTCTATTTCGCCCTATGCAAAAGATGAACTCTGTCGACAAGTGCTGAAGATAATTGTATGAAAATGTACCTTTGTATTCACCCAACTTCAATTTACTTATTTAATATGACTAGGCAACTATTAGAGGCCAAATCAGAGCAAACTGATCGTTCAAAATATGAAATATATCTCCAGATTAGAAACGAAGGGGAGTGATATTTGCTTAGGCAACTACAGTGAGTACACGAACAACCAAATGTTACATGACAGAGTAACAAATGGCTTGTATGTTTGATTGAGAACTTTTAGCTTAACAAGTAAGCACAAATAACCAAGGTCAGCACCTATTGCTGAATAAAAGCAGTCTGCCAATAATTTTGGCGAATTATTTACCTCTAACCTTAGAACAAATTTAAACACTAGTCGGAAGCTTCTTAGCAGTGACGATTAAGCTGTTGATAGCATTTCAATCCTTTTGTTGAATTCTATGATAAAACTTCTCAAATAATGAGTCGTGACAACAATACATTCCGATTTTGACTGTTGGCAAGATACAATAGATAAGAATGACCTTTTATAGGAGGAATATACGAACAAGGTGAAACTCTTTGTAAATACAATTATGAAGTGAGAATTCCTTAGAATACAGTCATACTTTGGTATCTGTTTATCTATGCCCTTTTAACCTATGCAATACATCATAACAATTAATTTTCTTGGTAAATTATTCCTACGTGAAGAATGTCTCCCTTAGTTTACCGCAGAAATTAGGTACTTAAGATGGAGTACACGATCGCTTTTCCACACTTAAAAAATCGTGAGCTAACTCACATCCTGAAACGCAACTGAAACAAACTGAAAACACTTAAAATATTACATACGAAAATATGGATGAATGCACTGATAGGTTATTTTTTAAATAAGTTCCAAAATGATAAAATGAGGACGAAAAAATCCCTCCTATTCTAACAAACAAAAGTCGAATTTTGTGGTGGTAATACTTAATATAATAGAGTCTCACTTTAGACGATTTATAATCCATCCAGAACAAAAGAATGAAAAGGAATAGAGCTGTAACCTCGAAATCTAATGTATATGCTTAAACGAAATCGGTTGCCTAACTAGCTGAATGAATTTCAAACTCACAGCACTCACCTTTCAGTTTTGATGTGTGGATCTGCTTATCGTTAAGAAATGCACCTTGACTGCGAATGCCATGGAAACACCACTTTAAAATCGGATTATAAACGACGGCAAGCTCAGGCTATCCACTAAACAAGTCGAATGCATGGGAAACATACCTCTTTATTAACATAGTAGGCAATAGAAACACAAACAAAAGGAAATCTGAAGTTAAAATAAAGCTGCGTTACCTGCTAACAAAATTAGACGTTCCATCAATAGGATCAATTATCCAAGTTGGTGAACATGTAAGTTGAGCATTTCCAGAGTATGCTTCCTCTGCAATTATTCTGAATACAAGGCAGGGTAAAATACACACCTTTACTTGTGAGTTGGAAACGCTGTTAAAATTTCTTTGCAAATGAAATTCTCAACAGCCTTATCAACTTCTGTTACCAAGTCAGCATATGACTCTTTCTTGTCAAAGGGAGTATCTTTGCAAAAACTTGCTTCGATCATCTTTCAGAATGGATTGAATAATAATGTCATTAACCATACCTCGCCAGCTTTCAAAGCTAGATTGTTGATGAACAAGATGTCGACCATGATTTCGTATTTGTGAATTAATCTCGAGGTCGCATGTAGATCTAAAACACTTGATTTTAACAAATTTCCAGGCTTAAATGTCCAACAAGTTTTATAAGTTCTGTAACTTTTCATAGTTTGCTTCTTGTTTATTCACCTTCCATTTTAATGAAATTATTTCAAACAGAATGTCGGACAGAAGGGTTGGGCGTACGACAACGTGGTACACCGGAATCACAGACAGACATTAGAAGTAACACTAAGAGGGATATAGGTGGTTAAGAAATTGAAATAAAATAGTGTAATGTGTATATTTAAATCAGATAATTATTGTTTGAGGGAAGCTGATAGGTTGATTTCAAAGTAAAAATTCTCTAGAGGTATTATATTTCATCTAGGTGAAGTTATGTCTTGTGATATTATCTGCGAAGCATTCTCATAGCTACAACAAACCTAACATCTTCGGAGACTGATAATGTTTTCGTAGATAATTATTCGGGCGTTACCTATGTCAATTTCGCAGTCAATTGCGAACTTTTCAACTTGATCAAGCTTTTGTGCTTTTAAGTAAGGAAAATAGAAATGTTGGTTAACTATTGCGGTATCTTTCTTGTGACCTAGTATCTACCAAGTTGTCATTCAAATGCAATCCCCCAATAACCGTTCTTCGCTTCTGCCATGACGAGAGAAAGGGAATAAGAATAAACACATTTTTGTGCCAACTTAACTCGTAGTTACTGGAAGCACTGTCTCCCCAGTTTAAACCATCCTCATAAACTGAAGCATGCATGAAGTGTTTCGGTGGATATTTATTGCCCATTTATTTCTAACAGTTTGTAGACTAGTCGGTTTTAATGAAAAGGGCTATATTAACGGTGATCCGAGTCGTTTTCAAACTATGTTCTGAGTCATTTCGATGAAAATTATTGCCGCTGATGTCAACGCGTAATATGTTGTCTGTAAAGAAATGCTCTTTAAAAATAACAGCTGTAAAAGCTGTTAGGTAGACAAAGTGAAGAAAGTGTAATTGTTAAGTGTCAGTGAAATGACCACTTTTAGTAAATAAGAGGTATTCGTAAGCTGCGAGCATCGAAAATGAAACAACCACATATTCCTGCTGCAATTTGTGCAACAGGTGTAGCTAGATTTCATAAATGAAGTTGGGCTATCCTTCAGAGTCAGCTGATAGTGTGGCTGGAGCTAACTTCTCACAGCATTGGTAGCCACTTATCAGTCATTAGCGTTGTGCTTAGCCGAAACAAAGTGGGAACGAGTTTGTGTGCTTCCAGTGAAATGATTTGGAATAGCTGTAAGAAAGTTTCACCAACGAAATAGGATTAGTAGAGCAGAAAACAATTTTAACTCCCCAGGATCAATGTCTTAGTGCAGTTGACGGCAGGAAACACGATAGTGTAACATGGGAGGCATTAGATGATGTAGAGTAAGAAGGGTCTGAGTCAGCATAGTATCACATCAGGCTTACCAATTCTAGGAATCCAGTTAGTTAAGCTGTTTGAATGATTTGAAACCAGTTGCGATTTTGTCTTGAACAGGTATGACGTTTACGATTGATGAGTGGCTAGCAATCCTGCCAGAACTGAGATCCATTCACACTATCTGCTGACTATTTAGGCTGTCCCTCCTAACCTTGTGGGCCAGTTGAGTTAATGGAATTGTCTACTTCCCGAGAGTAGAAAGAAATATATTAGTGAGTGTGTCGCTTTGCTCCAGTCTCTTGTAACCCATTCGGTGATTATTCTACCGTCGTAAGTGTGTCCTCCCATTGAGTTTGGGATCCATCAGACTGACCAAACTCATGTTGCACATTCAATTATCACGAACACCGAGATACATTTCAACTGGGGTTTTCAACTAAATATTTACGAGTTGAACAGGGATTGGTATCAGTTAGAGAACCATTGAAAACCAGCGTAGGAGTACTGGACATCTGCCTTTTTCATCCTAGCTTGGGAATCATCGGCAGTACGCACCCGTCCAGTACTCCCTGGTTTTCAATTGTTCTCTAACTGATATCAATCCGTGATCAACTCGTAAAACCATAACCAACCCTTACAAACCAAACTATAGAAAACTAAATATTTCCAAATGTTCCTAAGTAGTAATATTCCAGTGAGTAATTTATGATTAATTATCATCTACCTAAAACTTCATCCTTCTAAATTGTTCACTCGGTCATTACCTCCAAAACCTGTTTGCTCTCTGAATTATTTCTGCAATGGAAAAACCTTTCCTCAAAATTTGTGTGCTATCAAACTCCTTCTTCATGTGTTCACTAAGTATGAGAGTAAAAATTTAATCTGCTGAATAAATTCAAGTAAATTATTTATGCTAAGATGATGTGGCAATTATTGCGAACTAGATTCTTTTATGAAATAACTCTACACGGGCTGATTAATGTGCGTAAATTCGAAACAGTCAGTCCATCTCGAAGCCTGACCTACAGCTACTCTAGCTCAAGCATTTTATATTCTTTACGTACCTGACCTTACTGGCTTCATTGTCCCTCAGTGGTGATGCTCTGAACCAAAATATTACTGTCATATCGGACTTTTATCTACAATAATAACTCCAATAGAAGACTACCACAAATTAAACTCGTACAAAATTGAACTTTTTTCAATCCAACACATCTCCCACTACATCATTTCCCAGGTGACCGAAAATTGATCTCCAGAAGCAATCACTTGGTCGTATGATGGCTACTTTTTATGCTAAACATTTGAGATTTGTACTAGCGACTAACCCGCAGATGTAAACCCCTTTGTGCTGCAGTGTGCCTAGAACCGTAAAAATAACTACCCAGTGCTCACTTTGTCTTCATGAATTATAGAAAAGTGTTAAACTGCCTGGGCAGTATTTAAACCTAGAAATACAATGTTCTATCTTACTTTCAAACAACGTCATGAAAAACTTTCGAATAACCCTATGACGGAATGCCTACTTCTTTTTAAATAGTTGGAAATCCTTCTGTATTTAGTGTCCACAATCATAAATTATGCTCACTCCTTCGGTAGCGACATTCACTTGATAACAAAAGGCAAGTGAACGCAAAACTTAATGCAACTCTGAATCAATAAGTTTTCGAAATGGGACTGTTGCGGATTCACTCTTGGGATGCAGAAAATGTCAGTATCCATTCATGTTTATTTGTATAACAACAAGCAAGTTAGAAGAGGAAAGGACAAGAACGTAACTCATTAAGCTATTTTTCAGCCCTGGAATGCTCGAAAGAAAATATACCTCTTATAATATCCAAAATTAATTGGGGTAAAGTCAGTCCATTCCACGTAGCTTAGAAGAAGGAAATAAACGGTATTTTCTTCTAGGTATCCAACTTCGTACGGTAACTGTCCAGATTCATCATTCAACCCTCATTATAGCAGTATAATTGCTCAGGTTAAAACATCGGGCCATAATTAACTGTATTTCTCCTGTTAAATTTTTCAAAGCTACGCTTAGCTCTACAGCATGCTCGGTCGTTTACTATGTGAATACACGTTACTGTTACCCGGCAGGAAGCCCTCGATACGGGCTTTATGTAAGTTGGAACTTATTCCTAATGAACATCTACAACCCAAGCGAAACTGACATCCCTTAAGACAACAACTAAGTAATATTTTTCTTATTCTCTTGGATTTTGATTGAAAAATAGGTCTTCAACAGCACATCTCCATTTTAACCTATAATTGGCAGTCCTATAAGGCCCCAATATTATGAGGCCCGAAGACTGCCTAAAGTCTCTTATCTCCTCCTTATGTCAACCTCGGAGTTCACCAGTAATTTCCCGTTCGGATTCCGGTTGAAGGCATCGTACATGACGTCACTTAAAAGCCTCCTCAGTGAGTGAGCAGTCCACCCGTATCTTCTTGGTAAAATTCGTCAGCAAATGTGTTATTAGTGAGTTTGTCCCAAGAGTTCCTTATGGTTAATTATTTCCGGCCATCTGGCGTTTGGATAATACAGACCAATGAACTGTAATAATAAAAATAATGTACGTAAGTACCAGCTACGTAGGGGATTCAACCAAAACCAACTGAGCAACCTATTTCCCACATCAGGAGCTGGGGGCATAAACACCGAAATTTTTCGTACAGTCGTGCAGGTTGCATGTGTCATAGCTTCTAGAATTTGAGGACATCCCTACAATATATATTATATAAGGAGGTGGGAGACTGAAATGCCAACTATCTGATCGACTACGAAATGTGCAAACCTATGACTCAATCTATTAGAAAAGAAAGGGCTAACTCACCACGGCCTGCAAAATAGTTCACTGCCTAAATCACATGAACCCACACATAGCACTGGCATAGAACCAAGTTTACGTAGATTTCCTCACCAAGGAGCCACAACAGAAGTATGGACTTACTTCTTTACATTTGAGGTTGTCTTAATATGTAGGTCAGTGCCCATTACTCTGAGAGCTTTTCACGGTCGACAACATTGAGCAAGGGATAGAACATTACGCTAAAACGAAAGGTTGGCTTGCAACCTTTGGGTTAGTATGGTGGTTTTGGTGGGCTGCGCTCTTACCAAAATTATCCCACCCATACGGACATACTTCAATATTTGATTAATAATCTCGGACCCTTGAAGCCTCTTTCCTTTTAAATCTGTCGAATGAAGGCGACTCCACTGTCTTATACGTATTAAACGCAGTACTTCTAAAACACGCTCTATCTGTTTTACCCACTCGCTCATTCGACTCTGCGTTGATTCGCGTGGTGCCTTATTCATCATGTAGTGCTTCTTGATAACAATAAATGATTGCTCAGGGTACCAAAAATTGAGAATCCGAGAAGCCCCACTCCCCTTGTTCAAATCTTAACATACCTTAAAGAATAATAAATCTTCCTACAATAACAGGGACAAGCAGGCCTTTTCAGCCGAGGGAATTGACTGTGCTGAAATCAGTAGAAGGGCTGTCTCGTCGTTTGGCTTTCCTGCCGAAATAAGCGAAATAAATTACTGTAGAACAACTCATAAAATTGCAGAAGACTTATGGTATGTATGAAACTTTATTTTCTCACACTCAACAAAAGGGAAGGGGAGTGAATAAAACGTAGTTAATCAAAACAAAGTTCATTCAGCATTTAATAGATAGCGAAAGATTGATAAATCATATGGAACACACGAAACCACTACAAGGACAAATCTTATATAAAACAATAGGTGGAA